ACAATTCTCATAAAAACATTCGAATAGTTTAATGTCGCTAAAAAAGTCATATAAATATCGCAATTCAGTGTATATGGCCCTTTTGAGATATATCCAGTGATACTACTGATATATTAGTGATATATCTGTATACGTGTAATGAGATGTAAATAGAATTGCCAAAGCCAAGAGCCGCTTAAAAGTAGGGGTCTGAAGTACAGGCTACAATTCTCATAAAAAACATTCGAATAGTTTAATGTCGCTAAAAAGTCATATAAATATCGCAATTCAGTGTATATGGCCCCTTTGAATATATCAGTGATACATCTGATATATTAGTGATTATCTGTATATGTGTAAGATGTAAAATAGAAATGCCAAAGCCAAGAGCCGCTAAAGTAGGGTCTGAAAGTACAGCTACAATTCTCATAAAAACATCTAATAATTTAATGTCGCTAAAAAAGTCATATAATATCGCAATTCAGTGTATATGGCCCCTTTTGAGATATATCCAGTGATACAACTGATATATAGTGATATATCTGTATACGTGTAATGAGATGTAAATAGAAATTGCCAAAGCCAAGAGCCGCTTAAAAGAGGGTCTGAAGTACAGGCTACAATTCTCATAAAAACATCGCTAATATTTAATGTCGCTAAAAGTCATATAAATATCGCAATTCAGTGTAATTGCCCCTTTTGAGATATATCCAGTGTGTACATCTTATATATTAGTGATATATTGTATACGTGTAATGAGATGTAAATAGAAATTGCCAAAGCAAGAGCCGCCTTAAGTAGGGGTCTGAAGTACAGGCTACAATTTCTCATAAAAACTTCAATAGTTTAAAGTCGCTAAAAAAGTCATATAAATATCGCAATTCAGTGTATATGCCCCTTTTGAGATATATCCATGATACATCTATATATTAGTGATATATTTGTATACGTGTAATGAGATGTAAATAGAAATTGCCAAAGCAAGAGCCGCTTAAAAGTAGGGTCTGAAGTACAGGTACAATTCTCATAAAAACATTCGAATAGTTTAATGTCGCTAAAAAAGTCATATAAATATCGCAATTCAGTGTATATGGCCCTTTTGAAGATATATCCAGTGTACATCTAATATTAGTGATATATTTGTATACGTGTAATGAGATGTAAATAGAAATTGCCAAAGCAAGAGCCGCTTAAAAGTGGGTCTGAAGTACAGGCTACAAATTCTCATAAAAACATTCAATATTTAATGTCGCCTAAAAAAATCATATAAATATCGCAATTCAGTGTATATGGCCCCTTTTGAGATATATCCAGTGTACATCTATATAATTAGTGATATATTTGTATACGTGTAATGAGATGTAAATAGAAATTGCCAAAGCAAGAGCCGCTAAAATGGGTCTGAAGTACAGGCTACAATTCTCATAAAAACATTCAATAGTTTAATGCGCTAAAAAATATATAAATATCGCAATTCAGTGTATATTGCCCCTTTTGAGATATATCCAGTGATACATCTAATATTAGTGATATATTTGTATACGTGTAATGAATGTAAAATAGAAATTGCCAAAGCAAAGAGCCGCTTAAAATAGGGGTCTGAAGTACAGGCTACAATTCTCATAAAACATTCAATATTTAATGTCGCTAAAAAGTCATTAAATATTCGCAATTCCATGTATATGGCCCCTTTTGAGATATATCCAGTGATACATCTGATATATTAGTGATATATCTGTATTCGTGTAATGAGATGTAAATAGAAATTGTCAAAGCCAAGAGCCGCTCAAAAGTAGGGGTCTGAAGTACAGGCTACAATTCTCATAAAAACATTCGAATAGTTTAATGTCGCTAAAAAGTCATATAAATATCGCAATTCAGTGTATATGGCCCCTTTTGAGATATATCCAGTGATACATCTGATATATTAGTGATATATCTGTATACGTGTAATGAGATGTAAATAGAGATTGCCAAAGCCAAGAGCCGCTCAAAAGTAGGGGTCTGAAGTACAGGCTACAATTCTCATAAAAACATTCGAATAGTTTAATGTCGCTAAAAATGTCATATAAATATCGCAATTCAGTGTATATGGCCCCTTTTGAGATATATCCAGTGATACATCTGATATATTAGTGATATATCTGTATACGTGTAATGAGATGTAAATAGAAATTGCCAAAGCCAATAGCCGCTTAAAAGTAGGGGTCTGAAGTACAGGCTACAATTCTCATAATACATTCGAATAGTTTAATGTCGCTAAAAAGTCATATAAATATCGCAATTCAGTGTATATGGCCCCTTTTGAGATATATCCAGTGATGCATCTGATATATTAGTGATATATCTGTATACGTGTAATGAGATGTAAATAGAGATTGCCAAAGCCAAGAGCCGCTCAAAAGTAGGGGTCTGAAGTACAGGCTACAATTCTCATAAAAACATTCGAATAGTTTAATGTCGCTAAAAAGTCTTATAAATATCGCAATTCAGTGTATATGGCCCCTTTTGAGATATATCCAGTGATACATCTGATATATTAGTGGTATATCTGTATTCGTGTAATGAGATGTAAATAGAGATTGCCAAAGCCAAGAGCCGCTTAAAAGTAGGGGTCTGAAGTACAGGCTACAATTCTCATAAAAACATTCGAATAGTTTAATGTCGCTAAAAAGTCATATAAATATCGCAATTCAGTGTATATGGCCCCTTTTGAGATATATCCAGTGATACATCTGATATATTAGTGGTATATCTGTATTCGTGTAATGAGATGTAAATAGAAATTGTCAAAGCCAAGAGCCGCTTGAAACTAGGGGTCTGAAGTACAGGCTACAATTCTCATAAAAGTATTGGAATAGTTTAATGTCGCTAAAAAAGTCATATAAATATCGCAATTCAGTGTATATGGCCCCTTTTGAGATATATCCAGTGATACATCTGATATATTAGTGATATATCTGTATTCGTGTAATGAGATGTAAATAGAGATTGCCAAAGCCAAGAGCCGCTTAAAAGAAGGGGTCTGAAGTACAGGCTACAATTCTCATAAAAGTATTGGAATAGTTTAATGTCGCTAAAAAAGTCATTTAAATATCGCAATTCAGTGTATATGGCTCCTTTTGAGATATATCCAGTGATACATCAGATATATCCAGTGATATATCTGTATTCGTGTAATGAGATGTAAATAGAGATTGCCAAAGCCAAGAGCCGCTCAAAAGCAGGGGTCTGAAGTACAGGCTACAATTCTCATAAAAGTATTGGAATAGTTTAATGTCGCTAAAAAAGTCATTTAAATATCGCAATTCAGTGTATATGGCCCCTTTTGAGATATATCCAGTGATACATCTGATATATTAGTGATATATCTGTATTCGTGTAATGAGATGTAAATAGAAATTGCCAAAGCCAAGAGCCGCTCAAAAGTAGGGGTCTGAAGTACAGGCTACAATTCTCATAAAAACATTCTAATAGTTTAATGTCGCTGAAAATATCATATAAATATCGCAATTCAGTGTATATGGCCCCTTTTGAGATATATCCAGTGATACATCTGATATATTAGTGATATATCTGTATACGTGTAATGAGATGTAAATAGAAATTGCCAAAGCAAAGAGCCGCTTAAAAGTAGGGGTCTGAAGTACAGGCTACAATACTCATAAAAACATTCAAATAGTTTAATGTCGCTAAAAAAGTCATATAAATATCGCAATTCAGTGTATATGGCCCCTTTTGAGATATATCCAGGGATACATCTGATATATTAGTGGTATATCTGTATACGTGTAATGAGATGTAAATAAAAATTGCCAAAGCAAAGAGCCGCTTAAAAGTAAGGGTCTGAAGTACAGGCTACAATTCTCATAAAAACATTCTAATAGTTTAATGTCGCTGAAAATATCATATAAATATCGCAATTCAGTGTATATGGCCCCTTTTGAGATATATCCAGTGATACATCTGATATATTAGTGATATATCTGTATACGTGTAATGAGATGTAAATAGAAATTGCCAAAGCCAAGAGCCGCTTGAAACTAGGGGTCTGAAGTACAGGCTACAATTCTCATAAAAACATTCGAATAGTTTAATGTCGCTAAAAAAGTCATATAAATATCGCAATTCAGTGTATATGGCCCCTTTTGAGATATATCCAGGGATATATCTGTATTCGTGTAATGAGATGTAGATAATAATTGCCAAAGCCAAGAGCTGCTTGAAACTAGGGGTCTGAAGTACAGGCTACAATTCTCATAAAAACATTCGAATAGTTTAATGTCGCTAAAAAAGTCATATAAATATCGCAATTCAGTGTATATGGCCCCTTTTGAGATATATCCAGTAATACATCTGATATATTAGTGGTATATCTGTATACGTGTAATGAGATGTAAATAGAAATTGCCAAAGCAAAGAGCCGCTTAAAAGTAAGGGTCTGAAGTACAGGCTACAATTCTCATAAAAACATTCTAATAGTTTAATGTCGCTGAAAATATCATATAAATATCGCAATTCAGTGTATATGGCCCCTTTTGAGATATATCCAGTGATACATCTGATATATCCAGTGATATATCTGTATACGTGTAATGAGATGTAAATAGAAATTGCCAAAGCCAAGAGCCGCTTAAAAGTAAGGGTCTGAAGTACAGGCTACAATTCTCATAAAAGCATTCTAATAGTTTAATGTCGCTGAAAAAGTTATTTAAATATCGCAATTCAGTTTATATGGCCTCTTTTGAGAGATATCCAGTGATACATCTGATATATTAGTGATATTTCTGTATACGTGTAATGAGATGTAAATAGAAATTGCCAAAGCCAAGAGCCGCTTAAAAGTAGGGGTCTGAAGTACAGGCTACAATTCTCATAAAAACATTCGAATAGTTTAATGTCGCTGAAAAAGTCATTTAAATATCGCAATTCAGTTTATATGGCCTCTTTTGAGAGATATCCAGTGATACATCTGATATATTAGTGATATTTCTGTATACGTGTAATGAGATGTAAATAGAAATTGCCAAAGCCAAGAGCCGCTTAAAAGTAGGGGTCTGAAGTACAGGCTACAATTCTCATAAAAACATTCGAATAGTTTAATGTCGCTAAAAAAGTCATATAAATATCGCAATTCAGTGTATATACACAATCTTACACAAATACACAAATACAGAATATTCATTGTTAATATTATCTTTGAAAATATAAATTGTATTTAGTGGCACCAGAAGTGGTACCCCTAACTTTTGATTACCCCTAACTTTTGATTATCCCTAACTTTTGTCAAAAATGGTGAAGATAATTTTTCTAAAATTTAAAAAAGGCATTAGGTAGGGGCAGGTAATATTTTTCAAGACATACCTAAGGAAATAAACATGAGGCAAAAAGGCGTTGTTTCGTTTGTCACGCCTATTACTCTCCCACTCTGCAGTAGCTGGCAACACCGCTTATTAGAGTATATTTGTAGTTGTATAAAAGTGAGGATAGCGTTGGTTTAGGAAGGGGTTCGTCTATTTGTTCAAATGGGAACAACAATATGGGATTATTTACACAGAACAAATATACTGGGAATGGACGGGTGTAGTCAGGGAAAACAATTCAAATGGGAACAACAATTGGAGGAGGCTACCCTCTCATTGACTAGATTGTGACGTTGCTGTCATAAGAGCTTGTGATATAGAAACCCAACTCCAGTCATGAGGGCAAACACGCTGCCAATGTGCGTTAAAAATGTTAAGGCACGATCAAAGATTATCTCGTTTAATATCACCGCATGTCTGTATTCTGATGCAATTGCTATCTGATGCAGTTCGTTTTGATGCCCGTTGTAATCCCACATAAAACCATTTGATTCAAGTAAATCTTTGCTTTCGCATTCCAGTGCAACCTGCGATGAAATTTAAACATTGTTACCAAGAAATGAAAAGGTTTGAACAGATGAAAGTCAAGTCAAATAAAATAAAGATGGAAGATCTTTTATGGAATTGCAAAGTGATAAATATACTAAATACTGTTTAGATAACCAATGTCCTAATTAATACTTTTGGGTGTAACTGCTGGAAAGAAAAGCAAAAATCGCCCAGCACAACATTCATCTGCCATTGATAGTGTTAGGAACCTGAGAGAAGTTTCGTATCTCTTTTTCTGGTTCTCAGGACAGAGACGATAGACACGTTCGATCTCATTTTACTCTTTATGTATCAAGCCATTTTCCTTCTCATAACTAACTACAGTTCATGCTATCGGATCAATTACCTATATATGTGCTTCCGCTAATACCTTATATGGCAAAATGACCTTGGCCTATGACCTATAAGGTGTTTGAATTGTTTTCTATTCGAGGTTGACCTCTGACCTTGCACATATCACGTGTTACTGTTCTCTTCTAGTTACACGCAAGGGATAATAGCTAAACTTAAACTTCACAACAACCTGTATTGCATCTTTGAACCAAGCTGGTTAAGCTTTTAAGAAAGGCAATGTTTGTTAAGCAAAAAGCAAAAAAGGAGCAAAAAAAGAGCACCTTCAATTTTCTAGACCCTTGATTGAACAAAAAATATGTCTTAATTAGATAGCTTTCTTGTTTAACAAGTAGTCAACGATGGTTTGAAAATTCAGGTTTCCTTGCTACTGTCTACGATTGTTTGAAAAAAAGAGGTTTCCTTGCTCAAAATGCTTCTAAAGTAAATTCTGTTTAAACGCAGAAAGTTTGATACTTGGAACCATGGATAGAGAAAAAACAAAGCATTTTGAAAATGGGCAACAGGTTGTAGTTGAATGTAACGGATAGTAAGATGATATGAAATTAAGGTAAGGTGACATAGTCAATACATACCCAACCGCCTTCCTTGTTTATCTCATCGAAAGAGCTCTCAGCGACAAACTGGGTTGCATAGTCAACTAGAAGCTCAACCTGGATTCCTGACAAAGCACCAGAGAACAGCACCTCTTTGACCAAGTAAAAAATGAGTGCCACTTTCGACCAAACAGATTGTGTTAAATTCGTCAACTGGTTCTCAAATATTGGCTTTGCAACCAAAGAGAAATGCTTATAACTCATTTCTTTGTTTTCTTCAATCGGACAGAGCAATCTATTGATGCTAGCATCCAGTAAAAAAGGGCAATCACGCATGATGCATTGACTTATTTCCTCTAGTCGCATAGTGGCACAAGTGAGAGGGGTATCGGGGCAGGGTATGCAGGTGTCTGATGCACTGAAACTGAGAGACAATCAGACATATTAACAATCTGTGCAAAATGGCTGCTAGTGTATATATCTTAACAGTTAAGTATTCTCTGACTTCATGAGAAGGTAAAACAATGAAAATGCACTGAACATGAGAGAAACAGGCCATCTTGTTAAAAAACCACGGGAACGTTGGAATTCAGAGTTGGGAGTTAACAGGGAGGAAGGGGCCTTAGGTTTCATAACAAGGGCCGCTTATTCAAAAGTTCTAAAAGGGGCAGTTCAAACTTGTCCAAATATATGGGCACATACTCTGGTAACCTACTCCACCTTTGAAAAGAAACCATTGAAAAGAAATTCCAAACCCCAAAAAATGCGATATTAGCCTTAACCCTATTAAGCTTTGTAGAACTGGGAAAGCTCATTGTGTTATCCTCCCATCCCCCCTGTAGTAATAGGTTAACATGAAAACCTTTAGACTATATATAGTGAAAATGGGAAACAATAGCCTCCATCCCACCTGACTTTTCATCTTACGGGAGTCCATGCCTCTCTAGCACTCTTGAAATCAGTGTCGTATTTAGAACAAATTTGGCCTGATGCTGCAGCAAAGAAATTACCTATTACTGGGCCTATTCTGCTTCATAAAAAGTATGGTCTGTTTTCACTTGGGCTTATTTCAGGAATGGGCCTAATGCTGCAGCACCATAAAGTGAGCCTATATGGCATGATCTCTCTTGATGATTAAATTGTGTAACAGAAAAAGGGCATGCACCATGGGGCATATCATGGAATGCGGGAAAGGGGGTCTTCCAAAAGTTATCTGTCTAAAAGTTGAACTTCTATTTGGGAAAGGAAATTCTAAAAGTTTTCGTTTTAAGTGGTTTCTAGGAACTGGTTGGAAAAGCTAAAACCCTGTCAGTCACAAGCTTCCATGGCCTTATAAAAAGGTTAACACTTAAACTACACCTTGTTTCTAAAATAGAGTCTTTGTGTAATTATTATTTTCAAACTGACTCCTGAGTTGGTAGATCATTAGAAAGTCTAACATAAAGTGATTCTCTCTTTTTTAATGTCAGGTGCTTTCATGGCTTCTCAACTAAACTGACGTATGGAATTAAGAAGTAATAACAAAGACCTTATCATCACTTGATTTGATTTTATTTAAATTTAGGGGAAATTGTAGCAAGTTATCACTGCTGCTACAAATATCCGTATATAAGAGGGAGAAAACTTATGACTAATGAAAAGTGGAGGAATTCAAATAGTCTTATCTTGACATAGGTATATCTGTTTCGAAATCTAATATAGGTTTTGATGAAGAATCATGACTCTCTTGACATTATATCAGGGGTGTAGTGCTAAGAGGGCTCAAGGGGGGGCTGAGCCGAAATTTGTTGATGCCAAAATTTAGTCAGTTTTTTCTTTCATTCATTTATTTTAGCAACACTATGTGAAAGAGCTCTCTTGTTATTTTAATAGCACTACGACACTGCAATAAATGCCTCATAATCTGTTTTAAAACTGGTGTGTTAACAAAGCTGATCAAAAATTTTACAACATTGGTGGACCAGCTCACTTTCTTTGACATTTAGAAACAATTTCTTTAACAATTTCCTTCAATATTTGTTAGTGTGGCTCAGCACAGCACAGCAATGCTTGCAAACTAGTTTTGTTATCAAATATTCTTGCAAAATCCAACATTTTATAGTTTTTAGTATCAGATTCTAAAAGGTATCAATGCCTTGTGATAACTATCTACTGCAATATATCCCCTCTTACAGAAAGACTGACGAAGATACATCGCTGCATAAAGTGGTTAAGTTTCTGTTTTCTTAAACAAAGAAATGTCTTAAGTGACAATATTTTCCTCAAACGCACCTGAGAAGTGAAAGGCTCCCATTGCATTTACCTTTAACTGATTGCTTGCGAACAGCTCTTAGGCCATTTCTATCAAAATTGTTTATACCACGGCAAATTCGTCGATTGCGTTCCACCACATAGCTATCGCAAGACAGTCTTCGCAACCTGGAAGTATCAAAAGTTGTTATTTCTTCGGTAACTGAGCGGTAAACATTGCTGATACCCTTATCCCGTCGGAAATAATCTCTCTTCGTTTCCTTCAGGACACTTCTATCAAATTTTGCGATGCTGGACAGCACATCTTTGGATATCTTTCTGTTTAGAGGATCTAATATCTTACTAAGTTTTCTCTTGATTTTTAGCTCATTGTTCTCGCTGCATCTACGATATTTAATTTCGTTATCAATGCTTTCTTTCGTGGTTCTTTCAGGCAATGAAGTTCTGCCGCAACGATTTCTTTCGCGGCCTAAGTCCGCGCTCGAGTTGCTCATGAATTCCAATGCGACAAGCTTCGTTTCTTGTTTCATTCTTTCCAACTCCATTTTCCATATCTTGCTTCAGTATTTAATAGCTCACGTTTATTCGAATGTTTTAACGGCCTTGTACTATTCGCAGTGCCCACGTTGAACACTCCTTATTTGCAGAGCGCCATTTTTCCGCTTTCTGCATTGTGGGCATTTGAATAAAGCCTTTTGTGATGCAACCAAGTATCACATCTATTTTGTGATGTGAACAAATGAGTTTCGTTGACACTATTTAAAGTATACATCATCGTGATTCGTGTTGCTATGGTCGAGCCTTGCGAATGCTCCGGTTCGTTCCATCGCACGCTTTAGCGGTGGTAGGTGATGGGCACTGGGCAGGCTAATTAAAGTATTTTTTCAATTACTTAACTGTTCTAAAAATGGATAAACAGGTATTAAAGAAAAGTCAGTCTTTTGAATCATTATTTACTTTTAAATTACAGCACCAGGAAATATTAATAGTCTCTCTGGTGCACAGTTGGCAAGTAAGTCAAATCACCCATCACTGATTTCTTGGTTTATTCTACTGAAGAACAGGCAATGATATGCTGAATCTGCTGTTTAAAAAGTCAATCCATTACTTTTAAGGGGTTTTGTATCTTCTGCCCCTCACATTAGGCGTAGCACTGAAATGTTATGAATATTGCATGCGTACAATGCAAAAAAGGCATGTTATCAAAGGGATACCCATTGCCAAAGCTGTATAATAACGAGGCTGTGACCAAAAAAGAGAAGATGCCTGATTAGATGTACCCAGTGCTGAGAAAAGGGGGATCATTGGGTAAGGGGGTCACTGACATGTGGGCCCAAGACTATAAGGGCCCATAAATAATAACACAATCTTGAATAAGAACCCAATAAGAAACTTACCAGGAGGTTTTGCTCGAATTTAGGAATCGAGCCTATTTCACTTTCTAAATGGTTTTTTAGATGTAATAAATCGCATATTTTGTAGCCAAGATAAATGTGTGTGCGTTGTGGCGCATGCGCAAACATATCAGCTATGTTTAAGTTATAATAAAATGGCAAAGAAGTAAGGGCTACCAGCACAATTTAACCACCATATAAATTTTGGAAACCAAATAAGCCACCAGAGCAATTTAGCCACCATCCTCTCAAAAAAATTTCCCTAGACCCCCTAGATGAGTCTGCCCTCGATGTGTCTTGCTATGTTGTTATTGTATAATTATTTTACATCGATTACAAATACAAATAATTAGTCTACAAAATATGAATGTACAGGTAAACTAATCTTAATAACACGTGGTCAAAGAAAGTGAATACGTGAAGGAACTCGTGATGATGCTGAATAAACCTAATTTTATTGGCAAAAACTTTTGATGTTTGTCAAGCTAGCTTTCAAGCAAGCTTCTGATGTATTGGTATTGTTTTTTTGTAAGTAGTATTAATAGAGTAGACGTTTTCGTTAGAAATTTGCTGCCGACATTTCAGTTGTTGTCACAATCGACGCTTATCGTTGCTCAAGTGAGAGGTAGCCTGTGGTCCAGACCCCTAACTTTCAAGTTAGGGGGGTCTGGAACACAGGCTAGTGAGAGGTCGTACATTTTTAATGATATAATGCGAAGGTTGACAATCAGTGGCGTAGCGTGACTTTTTCAACTGGGTATTCTCTATTAAACAAAAGGGTGGGGCAGGGTGTGGCTCGATGGGGCTTGATGAAAATAGGGGGATAATAGGAAGATTAAAAGGACTAGCTATTGACATTTTATCTAATTTTCTTTTTGGTTCGGTTGGCAAGTACTGCACTGTCAGGGCATTACTATGATGAAAACGATACTTTGCTAAAGGACCCTTCAAATATACTCTTCGAACTCATTCGTTGCATCAAATTACCACTAACCATTTCATCAAAAGTAATTCAAATCAAAACATATAATTGAAAGCCAGTAAAATTTTACTGGTCGAAATCTGTCCCAATAGTTGTTGTTGAATCGTCTAACATTTGCACTGATGATGTAAAGAGGAAGTAACTGTAAACACCTTCTCTTGATACCTTAATACAAAAGGGCTTTCGAAAGTTTCACAATTATTCACATAGGGCATTACATGAGTTATAAATGATATTGTGGTATGCAGTATAGACTTTTTCTTCATGGCCTAATCGTGATATTTTCAATACAAGTTAATATTTGAAAGAATCGAAGGTAATGAGATGAGACTGCACATAAATGCGCTCGAATAATGCAAACAAAATAGGCCAACAAGATAACTGAATACACCAGGCAACTATAAGGATATTATCCAGGCCTATCTGCATTTACTTTAATTCTATCACATAATACAAACAGAAACATCCTTGATTGGCAAGCAATAACAAATTGGCATTTCAAGAGGGAACAGATCTGAGTCAGTGTAGTATTATGTAGCAGCCTACCTTTCCTTTCCACTTTGCTGTGGGTAGATTAAGTTTAGTGGTCAAATGAGAGAATGATTATGAAACAGTAATACGGACATTGCAATAGTTTTTTAATTAAGTCATGTTTACTGTTTTCGATGCAGCTCCATCACTCCAACCGCTCCGACGTTCATTAACTGTTTATATCGATCTCATAACGAGACTATTTCGAACCAACTTTGAGGCTGTACGCTGCATATTTCTCAGCGTACAGAACCATTGTTTTAGCTGATTAACGGCAAACATTATTCATGGAAAGGAGCATTTTGATTGGTCAAAGTACGGGCTGGGGTATTCACTGCGTATTCATGACCGATCTCCATACAACATGAAGTAGCTCAATCTTCAAAATTAGCTTCAAAGATCTCCCAGCTTCTCTATGCTTCGCAGCGTTATTGTTTCCATGAATTTGATGATATTTTGTACTTGTACAAAATGTAGAATATCGGAGGTAACGAATTCAAACAAAATCAATAGCCCCAAAACATTTTTTACTTATTACAATTATACGTCGTATTAATATTTTTTCTGAGAAATCTCAGGGTATTCACTGAATACCTTGAATACCCGGACGCTACGCCACTGTTGACAATGAACCCACGCACATTAAACCGCACAATTTAGTTATTTAGCAAGTTGTGGTTTGACAATACGAATGTTACTTTTGATCTGCTTGCTTTGCCTAGTATCAGTGGTGGCGCCAGGGGAGGGCTAGGGGGGGCTACAGCCCCTCCGTCGGAAGCATCTAGCCCCCCATCGGAGCGTTGGTGTTGGTGGGGATAGAATGAAATAGTATTCTCTTTCAAACATCAAACCAACTTGGTGAGCGATATTAACAATTTAGCTGTAAGACAATAAGCAGTAATTCAAGCTGCAACAAAAAGAAACTAAAAAGCAGGTGTACACATACTTAGCAGAGGTGGCGCCAGAAATCTTCCGACAGAGGGGATGGAGCTTCGGATAGAGGGGCTGGAGCTCCCGACAGGGGGGCTAAAATGATTAAAATAGGCAGTTTTCGTACGTTATTTTGTCAAATTTGCTCCGACAACAACCACCACGTGCCCCCATTTGACAAAATAACGTACGAAAACTGCCTATTTTAATCATTTTAGCCCCCCTGTCGGGAGCTCCAGCCCCTCTATCCGAAGCTCCAGCCCCTCTGTCGGAAGATTTCTGGCGCCACCTCTGCTAAGTATGTGTACACCTGCTTTTTAGTTTCTTTTTGTTGCAGCTTGAATTACTGCTGATTGTCTTACAGCTAAATTGTTAATATCGCTCACCAAGTTGGTTTGATGTTTGAAAGAGAATACTATTTCTTTCTATCCCCACCAACACCAACCCCCACCCCAAAAAAGAACAGGCTTCTCAGCTTGAAGTGACAGAATATCAAAGATTTAATCAATATTCATGGACATTTCAACACAGCTCATTCGTTATTCTAATTCTGCCTAACCGAATACTTTGTGAAAGATATCTTAAATTGTATCATCATTATACTTAAAAGCAAAAATGCTTATTTTCGGATGAGATCACAGCAAAGATGCACAAGAATTTTAGCTGTTATTAATTAATTGCAGCATGTATGGGAGTTTAGTGCTGAATATCTCAAAGTATATCTCTTTTCCTGTAATTTCTCCCTTAGAGGCATGTAGGCAAAAGGACCACCTCCTTGACCTTTTTCCGTTTTTCTAAAAAGTGGGAGGCACGTGCCCCCTGTGCCCCAAGTTCCTGCCTTTTTGACTGCAGTCATTTTTATTTGGTATTGTTTTATGCATTGAATTCATCGCAGAAAGCATCATTTACAATTACTGGTAGAATGAATGTGATGGAAAAATTTACCAGTTATCAACAGCTCAACAGCATTAAATTTTGAAAACTTTTTGATAGCTTCAAAAACGAACACAAGTACAAATATAATTTTTAGGGTTTATAGGCTTCAAACCTCGTACTCCCTTACTCGATATATCATAATTATTATTCGTATAAGAAAGATCTTATTGATGATCAATTATATTCATTGTTGGCTCTAAAGTCATCGGGAAATTCGCGCAGTCCTCGCTCCATGATACTTCCTTTAGTAAATGCAGGTCTGTAAGGACATTTTGCTTTTTTCTGAGACAAACTCTTTACGTTTTCAGATCTTCCAGATCGAGCAAGCTCTTTAGTGTTTGGTCTGTAGTCAGAATCACAAATCTGAAAGAAATAAAAGGAGAAAACTATTTATTTTTCGCGAAAAATTTGAAAACTCTTAAGACTCTTATGTCTTATGGCTAAAATAGATAAACACGAGCAAATCAGTGTCGCAGGATAGAAGCGTGCGAAACTCAGAGATTCTTGTCACAAAGAATAATGTGGGTTGTGTCTTGGCATTTGTTCATACATGGTTAGATAGAAAGTTAATATGAAAGGTTAAGTCCTACAATTTTTAATCTGTATATCACAATGATAAAAGTTTTGGAAGGGATAATGGAAAAACAATTCAATTTCAAGTTTATATCTATGAACAGAGACAACGTTGTTTAACAGAGGTAAAACGTTCTGTGCATACACAAATTGGCTGGACAGCCTCCAAACAAGCATTTTACGTTTTATAAAAAGCGTATAGCCACTACATCAAGGTTGTAGCAAATAGAGGATAGCTTACCTGTCTTTTGACAGCCTTTGGGTTTTTCTTTGTCTCACTAGGCTTGAATGCCTCCAGCAATTTGTCAGATATACCAGATTTGAGTGCCAAAGGGTTCAGTGAAGACGTTCTTGGCAGCTAGGACACATGCACAAATGAGGTTTAGTTGTAAAAATGCCATAACATGATTGCATTGGACAGATTACTGGGACACAAAAGATCACCCTAGCGAGACACAAATCAAAAATAGAAGTTTGTCAATTCAAATGGAAGTATTGATAAGGTTTTTCTAGCCTTTATAAAAGAAATGCATATGTTGGAAAAATAGATGCTGGAAGAAAAACTCACACCCGCTCTATTGCCTATGAATCACTTCCGCCTCCTCTCCCTTTTCGCTACAGAATAATATCCCCTAATAGCAGTTTTTAGATTCGCCCCTGTATTTGATAATGGCCCAACGAGAGAAAATTTCCATTTGATAAAATTTTTGGCATTAACTGTTCTTTGGACCTTTAACGAGCTGGCATGGAAAGATTGTAATGAAAAGAATCATATTTTGGGGGCTGCTTTATCACTAAACCATACTTGAGGACAGATTTCTAAATATACTACCTCAATAAGTAACGCATCGATTTGTGTTTGAATTGTTTCAGACTGTTTTTGAATGCAAAGACTGTTAGACAAAGGCAAGACTACATCAATATTTGCAACACATTTGAGTAACATTCCACAAGCATCAGATGGCAGCAAAATACAAAATGTCTTTGGGCTATTTGCTGCTATCTCATGACTTTCCAACAACAAGCACATTTCCTAAATTAAGAAAGATTAAAGATCTTGATTGACATAAGTTATAAATTGACACATACTTCACACACATATTACATATGACACAGAAATACAGAATTGGTTCAAATGCAAATTTAAAAGAAAATGTTTCTACAAAATCCTTTAAACGGCAATTTTAAAATAGTACGCAAATCCTTATCATTGTCATACCGAACGGTAATTTGCCATTGGTAAGATACCATAACAATAGATGGGTCATTTTATGTCAGTCCTAGCCCCTCTTTTCTCTGATTTTAAAAATTTTGCCAAACAAGGAACAATGCAGTTTTGTAATGCCTTTAGGAGAACAGAATTCTTGTTACAATTGGAGAGCATTTTCCCGACGGTTCGTTTTGTGTCTTAAAGTTAAATGCATTATGTAAAAAAGCAGTTAAAAGTGTTTGTGGGCATGCAAAGCAACCCCACAAGGGGCCAATCCTATAAACAAATCTCTTAAAAACAATGGATGAGGGGGCTTAAATTGTCCATCAATGGAGGGCAAAGCAATTGTTAAAGTGGTGGAGCCTATGTGGTCAGTACAGCATATCAAAGATTCCCATTGGGATATTGGTACTTTGGTAATACGTATGTTCTAGGTAAGTAGTGGAACATTAGCCTCTCAAAACAGAACCTCTCTCAACCCCAACGATTCGTGTTGTTATTGACTGCTTAATGATAGCTTGAGCGACATACCTGTTGCAGAAGAAATGTTCTAATTGACTGAAACTTTTGCTGGTTTATATCAAGCTCTTCCCAGTCGAGTTTCCAGCAGCTGGTTGGCCGCAGTATAAGAGGCTACCATTAAAGAAAGGTCGTTATCATCCGTGAGGATTCAAGTAAAAAATAGTCTTATCTTGTGAAAATTGCTGTATACTGCTCTATCATATAATGTGGTATAGACAGATCTATGCAATGGCCTCTACCCTGGGTGGGTTTTATTTTATATATAGTGAGTCTGGTACCCAGGGTAAATGGCCTCCAGCAACAAACAATAGACCTTTCTTCAAAATCTTTTTTATGGCTTTTAGAGTTTTCTTTGCTCCACCCCCCTCCCCCTTTCCAGCCTGTGTTGGAGCCCATGTATTCACGTTTTATCATGTAGGCCAGGACGGGTCTAAGTGGAAAAAATGAGTTTCTTAAGTATTGCGATTATCAGGAAAATGTAATAAAGTTTATGTAGATTTATTAAACAATAGAAAATCTGCAAGTTTTTTCAGAATCTGCTTTTTAAATTGCATCAATCTTGTTTACTCAAGGAACATCAACAAAGGCTGTAGCAATTGTTTAAATTCAAACACTAAACGTATATGAAATTTCGCATAGTCGTATGCAATGATTTACAAGATGCTAAAAATTATCAACTTGCTTGCCAACTAATGGAAAAGTTAATAGAATTATTTCTTCTAATTTTAAGCGATCTAAAAGATCTTAAAAGTACAAAATGAATTACGAAGATGTTTCCAATTCACTAACAGCATTAGCTGAAATCAATCGAAGGAGATGGAAAACAGAGTGTTTAGTATTTTTGTGAAAGTAGCATTGAGATTTAGAAATGAAATTCCTGTTACCTTTCCATAAACCTGCAAAAAAATGACATTGTTTAGAATAATTCAACATAACCAGCATTATTCTAGCGATTTATAAATTTAACAACAACGTACTCTATCTAAAGAAATTTGCTTTTTTTGGTACCAGGGTCGTCGCTACAGGGGGATGTGACATCTCCCTTGAAACAAAATTCAATTTTCAAGACGAGGAGATTTTTATCATCTAGGGGTACTTAGTCGGCAAATGTTCAGATTTTTTGCAAATAGGGGAAAGTTCACCAACCTTAATGGCAAATTGGATCGGAGCACCTCCCTTGAGCACAATAACTAGCAATGACCCTTCTTGGTAAGCAAAAGTGACTTATAAATTAGTATTAATATATACTTATAGATGAATATATATTAATTTAAAATTAATGTTTATGAATCAGGTACGGGTTGGGTAATTAGGAGTAAAAGTCAATGTAGTTCAGCGTGATGCATGTTAAATAAAATAATAAATGCAGTTTAATATACCGTACAACCTTTACATGGAAAAGCTAAGTATTTTGTTAAATAGTTAACTTTTTGCTCAACTGATGAATTTAAATTTTCCATGTACAAGTCATACTTTAAGGATACTAATCTGTTTTTAATGCTGATATCGTGTGAATGGATGATGCATTGTGTATGCATATGTATGTCGGCAAAATTCAAATGGAATAAAATGTCTACTTCACTTCATGAAAAATTCCTAATCTCCTTCAGAATATTCCTATTAAATTATGACTACTGAGTTGTAAGGATTGCCTTTATTGATTGCAGTGCACCTAAACTATGGTACCCCCCCCCAAACTTATCCTGGAGGTTGTAACCCCCTTCCCTAGTCGGCATCACTTTGTGACAGCATTTCACAGTCAAATCAGAAGTTGTGACTGCATTTCAACCAATAATGAAATGATTTTGTTGAAATGATATGAAATTATTACGAAATTATAAAACACTGTGAACGTCATGGCTGTAAAAACCTGAACTAAGATGATATGAATTGTGATTGCTAATATGGTCATCTTACCACTGATTCACATATTCCACTATTGTTTATGAGTTTAACTCCTTTGAAATGACACATCTTTGTGCCTGCTTTGGCATTTGGCGTTGTTGCTGAGCAATGAGAGCATTGTGTCTGCTGTATATCTGATTGAAATAGCTAAAAAAACAAGAAATATCTGCAAGAAAGAAACATTTTTCATATTTTCTCGTGTTCCTTAATATCCGCACAGTTAATGTTTTCGAAAAAGACAAACTTCTTGATCTTCAATCATAGAAAGATGTTGTTCAGATTTCACATTTCCCCTAACCAAAATATTTACACCAATACTCTCAAATACCTACTTTTTGGTCCACTTCAAGCTACCGAAAACCTATATACAGGGTCGGACACTTTGTCAAATATTGGGGGGCAAGCCAATTGTTTTAATAAAATGACGTCACATTTCCCATTGCCTTAGTACACAAGACCATTGTCCTCTAAAGTATTGGGGGGCGGTGGCAATTGGACAATTGGACAATTGGACAATTCAACAATTAAAGTACAGTTTATAAATTCTTGAGCATAATTTAACTATACAAGAAGAATTCTAATTTCATAGAATCGTTGTTTGAATTTGCATTTGAGTCCAAAAAGATGAATAGACAACTTTTTGTCGGTTAGTGAACGTGCAATAAGCACAACACTGACTAAGCTAACACTTTTTGCTAGAAAGCCGTGCAATTTTAATCCATGCAATTTTTGGCACATTACTTGTTTTTAGTTTTCAGTAACGTAGAAGCCAGATAGACTAGTAAGGCAAGTGTCCCTCTTATTTTCCTGCAAAACATTGTTTACTTCCTTTTTGGTAAAAAACGTCTCTGTATCTGAAAAAATATAACTTTTGCATATCTCTATAAAGCAAAATGATGCCCTTTCTTCATTGTCAATCTTCTCCTGCTTATCAACAACTTCCTGCGCCCTGGACAGTAGTGTAGAGCCAAAAAATGTAGTAGGGGGCCCATAGCGCTTTCTCTATACTGAATACAAAATGATCGTTTCAATTGTTTTTGTTCGTATGCCTCCTCAATATCAATTTCTTCATCTTCCATTTTTTCTAGGATTAAATCAGTTTCCTATGTCTACCTGTTACCTGAGTAGAAAAATTTCAAAAATAAAGAATTTAAAAGTAGTAAAATGTTGCCAGCATTTATTGGTTTTTTCAGTTAGCATAAGGGCTATTGAGGTCAATCATGAATGATTATGTCAAAAGTAATATCAGTTCAATCAAAGATTTGATCCTAGCAGAAAATAGCCATTGCTTTTTAGAACTATCCAAAAAAATAGGAGGGGGTGCCGTTAGAAAAGTAGAAGGGGCTGAGCCCCCCTGAGCCCCCCTGAGCCCTCTCTTTTAAAGCCTTTATCCTGGGTGTTTATGCTTAATGATCAACACATAAACTACATAAATATGTCTATTTGCAAGCTCGAGTCAGTAAAATCTCATACCTTAAGTTGGGAATATGGGACCATCGATGGACTAAGAAGCCTTTCATGTATATCACATTTCAAAACAATACCTAGAATAGAATACCACTTTTTTTAAATCTACCCAGATGACGTTTTTAAATCTACCCAGGTAGAAAAATTCCCCATCCATAGTACGAATCTTTTACGGGGACTTTAAATTCATATTTTCAAAACTGATCCTCTTTTTCATGTTCTTTGAAAGAGAATGGGGAACCATATGACTAGTTTCATAAAGCTTGTCTTGTCAGGAGTATGTTACCTTTGATTTGCTGAAAATATTGTATTAAGAACGGGTAGAGTTAGCAACATTTTGCTGTCAATGAAGCATTTACTACTTCTGGCTCAATGATCAAAGGTTTCTTAAAAGGTTTAGCACACAATAACTTATTCTTGAGAAAAGTAAATATGTACGCCAATGGTCTTAAACAACAATAATCGACAAATTCGTCCACTGATTATAACCAGGCAAATTCTTTCAAACTCTGAATCAGCTGACCTAACTTCTTTCTTATATCCTACGAATAGTTGTGTATTGTACAAATTAATGGGTCACATCGGCTTTGAAGTTATAGTTTGCCCACTTGCAGAATATGTCGGCATCCCCCCATTTTTCTGTAACGTTTGAGCCGTGTGGAGCGGCAGTACTACTCAATCTGAGCGGTAGTCAACTTGGTTGTTCATTGGTTGTCATCAAAATTTGTATGCATCCTCCCAGGTTGGCTGTGATTTTTGATGATTTGATTGGTTTAGGCAGGCTGACTACCGCTCAGTGCAGCTCGAATCCGCTCTGCACCGACTCAACCCCCCTAGTTAGCAAGCCATGATTTCATCATCCCCCCATGCTAGCCTTTTATTTGCAAACATGTGGCTTGGCCAATTGGCACGCAATTTCCATAGCGATAAGGATTAAAAAGTATTTCTGTCTCTGTGGAAATTTCAGGCATGTTTCTAGGAAGAAATG